ACTTAAAATAAGCTTGACTTGATTAAATCCTGTGTTTTATTGTGTGTGTGTGATTTTTTTTTTCTTCCTGGAATGACTTTTAAACTTTTTGTCATGGTCTTATTGATATCACTCTTTGCATTTTATTGTGATCTTGTTTTGTTGAGTCGGTTGCTTATATGAAGGTAAATGGACCCATAAACAGTAACAAGGAAGGAGCTAACTTTTGGGTTGCGTGATTTGAATTTGTGTTATTTTATTATTTTAATACAGACGAAGGATTCTCACAACTGCATTGTGCTATTTTATCCTGATGCATGCTCATGTGCTATTTTAGTTCATTCGTATCTCAAAATGTTCTTATTGTTCATCAAAATTACATGAAATAAAGGCTTGACCTATTTCACTCCATGTGTAATGAATCTAGATAATATATGAGTTTCACTTTCTGAGGTGAATGACAAAACATATTGAACTTTTTCACAATATTCAAATTTCTTTACATTCACCTGTACATCACAAACATGTTTGTTTATTTATTTATTTATTTATTTTTGTTACCAGGCGATCCTGGATTGCATGCTTCTAGCTTCTGTGACTCAGCTCTCAACCAGGATACGGCAGTCTGTGGATAAAACAAGCTGCAAAGTCAGGTGAGAGTTGTATTGTAACACTAAACAGTCCTTGTGCTGCTATTGTAAATTAAGCACATTTACTCCATTCTGTTCTCAGAGGATAAATGCGAAATAGTGCCATAAAGTCAGAAATGTTTATTATAGTGGATTAGGATTCCTGTGTTGTTGGAATAAGGTGGACTGACAGTCTGAGTGGCACATCACAAAGGTTTACTCTGCCAACAAGCTGCACATTTTTCTCATTATGCTGAAGATATTTTTCAACTGTAGATAACATTGAAGCAAAATTATTCTGTCAGCTAATGCTTCTAACAATATCTATTTTAAGCATGCTTTTTATGTACTTTACTTTAATCTATTTTTGAAACATCAAGGATCCTCTTCAAGGATAAAGAGCGAAAATGGGAGGAGATTGAGACCAAACTACAGGCCGAGCATGACTCCTTACTGCTCAAGAGCTCCAACACAGTGAGGAACAACTTTCACACTTAAATCAGATTTTAAGGAAGCTGGTTTTTATAAGTTTGTGTTTTATCTGTTTTTCAATTTTTTTCTTCCAGTGTAATAGAATGAAATGATTCCTATATGTATATGACACTTTTTATTACTACCGTATGGTGTGTCTTTGTGTGCACATGTGATTGTCTTGTTAGCAAAACATCTCATAAACCACTAAACAAATTTAAATTAAGCAGAAAGTAACCGGATATACACCTACAGATACACCCAGGGCTTAATTTGAGCTGGATCCTGCTGGAACAGGATCCGGGAACTGTCTTATTCTGACAGGGTGCTTTCCGGTAACTGTTTGCTCGGATCTGGTAATTCTCTGGCTTACTAATAAAAATTTATAAACAAAATTGGCTGATTTCAACAAATAAAACCTATATTGGATATGTAATCTGAAAATAATTACAAATGTACATAAACACTCATTTTAAACATAACAGCCACTTACGAGTTTCCTAATATCACATAAGAGCTGACCCTTTAAGTAAGCATTTCTGCTTCTAACCTTAAAAAAAAGCTCCATCCCTAAAAGTTCAGTCCTGGGCAATTTAATTAAAAGCACAAAAATTAGTTTTACAGTTTAAGTGGGTCATTAATAAAATTTTGATTATTAAAAACACAAGAGAAATGTTTGATGGGTAATCACATTATGTACATCATGTATCAAAACAACGGCGCCAATTTGTCAAAATAACAGTGATCAAAATGTTGACAAGACAGTCCAATTTACTTTCATAAAAAAAGATATTTTCATTGTACAACTAAACAAACCGAGATTTGAAGCACATAAAGACAGTAGCAATGGAGATAGAACTGTAGCAGGTGTGAGGATGCTTGACAGAAGTGGAGCGTGTTCTATTCACACAAGGGGAGCTGTTGGTCAGGCTACTTCTTGTTGCTCTCTAAAATAGTTATTGAATCAAGTGTTTACAAATAGGTAAACAGAGGTTTAACAACCTGATAAAATACACCAGAATGCAGGAAATGACATCTAATATTTTTCAGTCAGGTCATCTGGACAGTTTCTTTTTTTTTTTGTGCTGAAACGTTTCGCCTTCGATCCGGAAGGCTGTCCAGATGACCTGACTGAAAAATGTTGGATTGTATACCTGGATTATTGAGCATGGACTTTGTTGTTTTCAACCAGTTTGACACAACTGTCAACAAGGAAGAGGAGGAGGGGGCATATCAAAGAGACCATCTTAGCACCAACAAAACTGGTTTGTTCCACTTTGGAGTAAGCTGTTGGGAGAAAAATCAGTTTTGTCTTGTGTGTTTCCTTGACTGATGAAGTCTTCCGGATCAAAGGCCAAACGTTTCAGCACAAAAAAAAAGAAACTGTCCAGATGACCTGACTGAAAAATGTTGGATTGTATACCTGGATTATTGAGCATGGACTTTGTTGAAATGACATCTACTTTATTCAAAAATTTCTGGGGGAGGAACCCCCCACTGCTATTTGCGTTCTGGCATCATTTGGTTTATGAATTAAGCACTGGCTACAACTTTTGGGAATCACCCAGTTCAAAAAGGCTGCTGCAGCTGTGACCTTACAAAAAAATGTATTTTATTAAGCCATATTTACATATATTAGGCTAAAACATATTATGGTAATAGCTGAAACTCATCACTAACACATGCTCTGAGTGCTAACATGGTTCATGAGATATCACAATGTCAAATGCATAACATAATTTACAAAGTTTAACCAAAAAAGGCTACAACTCTGTCATTTCTCATCCAAAAATTATAGTTTAAAACTCTGGCATGAAACTGTTTTCTGTACAATTTTTTTTTCATATTAACATAATAATCCTGCAAAACAATGATTGCTGTTTTGCAAAAACAGTTCTGCACTCTCATAAGATGGGTTAAAGTGTACAGAAAGTGCTTAACTGGTTGATATTTCTACAGCATTTAAACAAAATCATCAGATTTTTGTTTTAACCAAATATAAGAAAAATTGTTTTAATGAGAGAAGCAAATGAGTAATAAAAATTAAAAAAAAAAAAGTTTAATAGTTGTGCTATCCATTGAACGGCGTTTGTTATATTAGTACCATTCAAATGCATATTTTCAGTAGATGCTTCATAAATCTGACCACTCAGCTCAAGCAGTGTGGTGAATAGTGACGCTACTTTAGCTGTTTGGGAATAAAACTAAAGATTTGTGCAGCTGCCTTTGATGCAGAAGTTCAAACACTGATTTTGTAGATGAAACTCCACCAAAAAAGGTTTTTTTAATCTGAATATAAGAGTTACAGCTAAACTTCATAAAAGTTGTGTCTCTCTCCGGAGCAGCGACATAAATCTGGCACAGACCGTCCTCATGTGAACCCCTGAAAAGATATATCTGATGACAAGTCGCAAGGCTCATAAAGCATTACTCAGTGTGATGGGCATGACTCCAAAACTTTTTCTGCAGCAATAAAAAGATTATTCAAGCTGATTTATTTGCTCTAGATGTTATTAAATTAAACCCTTGACTAGCCTTCATTTTGTGATATTTTTTGTGCTCTTAACAGGAGATTTCAACAATTATTCAAGACTTGAAGAGGGTGGAAAGGCAACTTGCAGGTATGGACATTAGGGTTTTATTACATTGTCTAAACCGGAACAAGTCCTCATAGAAAAGCAGCTATCGGGGGAGTAATGAAAGCTTCTAATCTCAACCATATGTGTTAGTGCGGTGTTGCATTTGTTGTTGGATACAGCACAACTCATTTCACAAGATTTGTTTCTGCTCCACATTGACAGTAATCGACATGATGGTGGACCCAGATGGTACACTGGATGCCCTGTCCAACTTGGGCTTGATGAGTCCCCAAGCTGACCAGAAGATTGGTCCCGGGACTCAGCAAGGAGCATCAGTGTTGCATCCTGGAGCTGACGCAGCATTGTCTAGCCAACTCTCAGCCCCCAGACCTGAAGGACGATCTACTGAACCCCGTGGATCCTCAGAACAGACTAAAGTGGCAGAGCGAGACCCAGGGACCCAGCAGCTCAGTACATCCTACAAATGACAAACCAAGGAAATGCTTCACAATTTATTCTTTTTATGAGACACTGTACATGGAAGCTCATGCTTTGACGTTTAGGATTTCTTTGTTTTTGTTTTTTTAGGGAAGATATTAAAAAAGTGAGCCTTTTCGACTGTGTTGTCAAAGTATATCCTGTTGGGATTGTGGACTGTCAAAAAGAAACTGATTGGAAGACAAATACACTTCAAGACAACACTACAGTATCTACTGCTGCCCTGTTGACGTCACATACAGTAACTCATGTTTTTGTGTTGCAGCTCATTGCTATTAGCCATCTTCTAAATGCTAAATTAGGGGTGCATCGATGCTAGGATTGGATATTAATCTAATGCCCTGTATGTAGGCATACTCGTAAATGTACCTCGGTACCAACACCACACATCTCATTTGAGCAGTCAGGTAGAGGAGAAGCAATGTCAACCATGTGAAGTGGTTTTTACCTTTTATTTTCAAGTAAGCTGTCCTGATCCACACTCTTTATCAGCTGGTGGCAGTAATGCATCATAAACTTGTTTGCTAACCACCAGGAAGCTGCTCAGTTCTCAGTTCCTGGAAAGAGACTTCCATCTTCATCATTATCATTGAGTGGGGAAAAAAATGACATTTTAAAAACACATGAGAGCAGTGTAGGAGTTATCCAGTCTGGAAAGCCAAGCCTGGCCCTGTGATGCACTTGCAACCTATCCAGGGTGTCCCCCACCTTTCACACAGTAACTGCTGGATATGGGCACCAGTGACCCCCATGACCCAAGAAGGAAGAAGCGGGTAAAAGAGGATGGATGGATGGATGGATGGATGGATGGATGGATGGATGGATGGATGGATGGATGGATGGC